GACATTTTAATTTTAATGTAATAAAAATGGGATATACGTAATAATAATAATAATAATAATAATAATAATAATAATAATAATAATAATAATAATAATAATAATAATAATAATAATAACAACAACAACAACAACAACAATTTTGGTTCCAATATAAAAGAGAAGAAAGTAACTTATGATATCAAAAACAAACAACAAAAGGAAAGGAAGAAAAAACATCCATAAAAAAGACCGTAAGTTACAGTGCATTTTTTTTCAACCATGGTCGTGAATGAAAATACTTCCGGATTTGTGACGCCAGATTGTATGGCTACGCCGCAACTTTGTAATGCATTGTCAGGCGATAAATTACTTCTCTTTTCTTTGGCATTAATTGAATCCGGGCAATTTTGTAGTAATTCATAATTTAATCTAGCTCCACCTTATCTTTTGTAAGCTTTCCTTCCTGCCGCTTGGCGTTCCACGCCAATTCTGAATTATTACAATACCTGTCTAATTACATTTTCTGGGTCAATCCATTACCCATCGCGGTAGTAAGTTTGCGGCCAATCGCATTGCAGTATTTGATCACATGACATCAACAAGGTATGAAGAGTGTTTTTCATGTATGACATTATCAAGGTGTTTATAGGAGAAGAAAATGGCTGATTTAAACGCGAGTAATGAACTGTTACATAATTTGCTACATATATAACCTGCGTGACTGTCTCAGAACATTGTATCGTTGTCTTATGATCAATTCTGACACGGAAAAGTGTATTTGGGCGCTGGGTTATTTCTTTCATACTTGGGAATTTACCTGTCAGTGTCGCTGATGTGCCGCTGATATGCAATACACATTCTCTTTTACGATTGATCAGGAATACGACTACGTGGGTATATCGTGCTAAAGTTTATAAAGCCGATGTAAGGTGGTTAGGATCTATAACAAAAAAAAATTGTCACAAAAGGACTGATTTAGGACAGGTGTGGAAAGTTGGGAGGTTTCAAAATTAAAGAACCTTCCTGAATATTCAAATATTCGAATATTGACAGTATGTACATGTGGTTCTCTGATGTAGAGGTGTGTTTCTCTGGAACGATTCACCCATGATGAGTATATTTCGCCGACGAGGAAGCATTGATATCAGCGAAAAAGAGCCCAACTATAAAGTACGGTATTTGGGAAATGTACAGACCGCGCTAATGAAAGGAGACGGGTGTGTTGATAAGCCGTTAGCCGTCATATGGAACAACTATTTGAGAAATCCCAACCCGGGACTAGAAATGAAACTTACCATTACGTCTTCGGGACTCAAAGCCGAGACCAAGGAACAGGGACTCACTGAGTACAGGGCCCACAGAATATCCTACTGTGTTGCCCATCCCCAGTACCCACGTTTGTTCGTCTGGGTGTATAGGCATGAAGGAAAAAAGATGAAGATGGAACTCAGGTGTCATGCTGTGTTGTGTAAAAATGAAGCGAATGCAAAAACTATGGCATTGGTGTTACATGAAAAATTAAAATTCGCTTTGAGAGAGTTTAGGAGAGAAAAAACGAGGAAACAAAACTCGAGGCTTGTCTTGCAAAAAACAAATTCACTTCCGCAAAGTGGTTCTTTTTTGCCTAAAAGGACTCAGATGTTGAGTACAGGTCAAAATTTCAAACCCTCAATATGTAAATCGAATACTGCCCCAAGATTAGGGGCGATATTAGAAGACGTAGAATGCGAAGGATACGAGTCGCAAAGCGAGCAAGCGGAAGATTATGTCACTGACGCCGATTTTATTGACGGATCCCAATCACGAAATATAGACTTAAACTCGTTGAGGTTAGATATCGACGGTTTGTCAGAAAGAGTGATAGATTTGGAAATAGGGAACGATATTGAAGAACTTAGAAAAGACAAAGACGTTCAGTTTTGTATTCAGAACGGTGATTCGGACGATGAAAGTTCGGAGTCTGGGTTCCATGAGCAGGATCTTAAAGAGGGGCTGCCAGCAGACGACATGAACATGGACGAAATGGAAGAGCCCGTCTGTGATCTCCCGTCAGGAATGGTAGAAGAAGAAACGTTGGTGACAAATTTATGAGACGTCTTATCCAGACAGGTAAGTTTTGGCCCGTCATCATAAATAAAGTAAACTTTGCACTTAATTGAAAGGAACATTATGAATGTTGGTAGTTTTTAATGGCACTTCCAAACAGTATTGATTATATATCTTTCTAAGGATATAAAAAGCCCAACACCCTTTACCCGGTATAGCAGCCGACTAGGACTGGTTGTTGTTGTTGTTGTTGTTGTTGTTGTTGTTGTTGTTGTTGTTGTGCTTAACGCCATTTTTCAGCACACGATAGGCTATTCATGGCGGCCAGTATTAATGGTGGAGGAAGAAACCGGGAAATCACCGGAAAGAACCACCGACCCACGAGAAGCTACTGGCAAGCTTTCTCACATATCCACATTCGCCGAATCCTAGACTCGAACCCACGCAGACAGAGGTGAGATGGCAGTGATCCGTAACGGACAGCGCTTTAGACCACTCGGGGCCCCACTAGGACTGGTAAGGTGGATGTTATTGAAACTTTGGCCCTTGGATAAAAGATGAAGTGAAAAAGAATTGAGACATTGTTTGATTTGTTCTACACATATGAAATCATCTTACATGAAAATATATGACTGCTGATTTCTTGTAAATAGCTTCAACCGTTTTGAAAATCATATACATCCAGTCAAGGGTAAAACGTTGATATGTGACATGTTTTGTTTCTGAAACAAATCTCGGGAAAAATCTTTCAACTATTCTTTAGTGGCATCCTTACTGCAAAAGAACAATTTTTATATCAGTTACCAACCACCCCTTCATAAATATCAATTTTGTGGTTAAATTCTCCCGTTACAATAAGATAAAGGTAAAAATACTGTTAAATTTTCAGCAGCTAAAATGAAAAGCACCAGACAGCACCCCTTCAAATGATACCATGAGGCAATTGCCCTATCACAAATCCCCCTTCCCTCGCGCCATCACTTTTTGTAACAGTGAACATTAGCATTCCTAATGTGCATGATATTGACTGAGAGGAGATATTTCAACCTGCAGTTTCGGCTGTTTGCCCAAAGCGATCCATTGCTGTTATGAAATGTAGCTACATATGGTATCTCGTGCGTGCCATAAACGCTACTGTAGAAGTAGTGTATACCTTTATAGCGGAAATTCATATGGAGTGATAATACCGCCGTAATTTTCTTCATGTGTTTTCTATTCTTTCTTAAAGCATTATTCTAAATGGTTGCTTGCAAGTATTACATTCATAATTCTAGTCATTAATTTTCTAATCTTCATTGATTCAAGATGTAAATGGCTGCTTGCAAGTATTACATTCATAATTCTAGTCATTAATTTTCTAATCTTCATTGATTCAAGATGTAAATGGTTGCTTGCAAGTATTACATTCATAATTCTAGTCATTAATTTTCTAATCTTCATTGATTCAAGATGTAAATAGCTGCTTGCAAGTATTACATTCATAATTCTAGTCATTAATTTTCTAATCTTCATTGATTCAAGATGTAAATGGCTGCTTGCAAGTATTACATTCATAATTCTAGTCATTAATTTTCTAATCTTCATTGATTCAAGATGTAAATGGCTGCTTGCAAGTATTACATTCATAATTCTAGTCATTAATTTTCTAATCTTCATTGATTCAAGATGTAAATGGTTGCTTGCAAGTATTACATTCATAATTCTAGTCATTAATTTTCTAATCTTCATTGATTCAAGATGTAAATGGCTGCTAGCAAGTATTTAGATCAACTTTCTTTCTCTGTCATTGTATCTTACAGTTTGCCAGCCCTCCGTAAACGCATGTTATCCAATGTTGCTGATCATATTGTTTAAAAATTTCGTAAAATCCAAGCTATATTTGGGTTGATAATTGAAGAGATAGAAGGAAAAATAACACGATTCATCGTCGTCTTTGTGGGCTGGGGTTGTTTTGTGAAATGGGTGGGTTATGAGTCAATTTATACATTACGTTACTTAAATAAAACTCAATTTTGTTTTGAAATTTATAAAAACCAAGGGATTTTTCTTTAGATTCTCTATTTGTCCAAAATATTGTAAAGGAATCATTTTTAAATGTAGGAAACAATAATTGAAAACGTCTTTCCTCTCCTTCTTGTTGCAGTTCATTGTGAGAAAGATTTGGGGTTGGGGTATATATATATATATATATATATATATATATATATATATATATATATATATATATATATATATATATATATATATATTCTTTTTTCTCTAGACTTGCATTTTGTAGGATGTATATTCTATTTTGTACCTTGACCCTGTACCTGAACAATTGGGTGGGGGCATCCAATTTGGCGCTCATTTGGTTCGCCTGTATATTGGAGCTGGTCCTGTTTTAACCTTTTAAATATTTCTTTCTAAATTTGGTATGTGTGATAATGCAGTACTGCAGTTAATAAAAGGTTATGTAAATAATTATGTTGGCCTTTTTTTAGTAGTATACTGCATACGTCAGCAATTCAGCATACATAATTGCATCATTCCAGCTTTACATTTCCTGTCTGAATTTTAACAGTTCGTTTGGTTTGGTATGCTAGTTAACATGGGAATACATTCTTAATATAGAAGTTATATTGCGACACATTACAGCTGTAAGCAAGATGTTACCATAATGTAAGTTAGAGAAATGTAATTGACGCTGTTGGAGGATGTAGGCAAGTGGGATACGTGTGTGTGTGTGTGTGTGTGTGTGTGTGTGTGTGTGTGTGTGTGTGTGATTTGGTTTAGTTTTTTAAACGTAGCTTTAACAATTATTCAGCCATATTGCTACGATGTCTGCAGTGTGACAGTTTATAGCCAAGTCTAGCACTGGGGCATCATGCTGCAGACACATTATCCTGACACCAGGCCAACCAGTCCTAACACTAACCTCTTAATGCTAAGCACCAAGAGAGGCAGCTGTTAGTCCCATTTTTTAAATTCTTCGGTATGACTCGACCGGGGTTTGAACACGCGACCTCTTGCATCCGAGGTGGACGCTCTAACCACTAGGCCACAGTGATTTGGAGATTTTTAGTTAGCTTTTTTAATAAAAAAAAATCAGTCATATCGCTTTGATGTCTGCAGTGTAGCAGTATATAATGATGTCTAGCACTGGGACATCATACCGCAGACTTGTAACATGTAACACCCAGACACATTACTGACACCTGGCCGACCAATCCTAACACTATCCTCTAAATGCTGAGCGCAAAGTGAAGGAAAGCTGCTAGTGCCACTTTTTTAAACAAAAATGTCTTTGGTATGATTCGTCTGAGTTTCGAACCTGCAACATCCCGCATCCGAGGCGGGCGATTTAACCATTTAGGTCACCGGAGCAAGTGGGATACTAGAGATGTTCTATAATGGGGCGACGAAATGGGTAGAGAAATCAGGAGCGCTGATTTGTTTATGTCATTAAATACCATTGGAATCTCATACCTTATGTTAACATATTTATATTATCGTACTTACCAAACGAGAGAATATTGTGAAACCGATTTCTTGTATGACCTCGGCTTTTTTACGTTTTCATGATTAGCTATTTTCTTTCAACCGGGTTACTTATGTTTTTCACAAGTCTCTTGCCAGTCATACCAGTTTTTTTTTTTTTTTTGTTTTTTGTTTTTAATCTCTCATGTTTACCTTCCTAATGTTGCAAGTAAATTTGACAGTAGTCGTGACGTTGAACAAAACATTTACTATTGATTTTTTACTTACTTTTGGACCATTTTAAATACTTTAGGAATTTCGTCAATAGAAATGCACGCTGTATTGAAGGAATGTTATTGGAACCGATGAACAGTTTGACTGCTTCTGGATAATTTACATTGCTGAAGGAGAACTGCCCTTAATTCATCGGTGGAAGGAAAATTACTTTAAAATGTCATTTTTAAACAGTAAAACCTTTTTTACCTGGAAATATCGCATTGCTTATTTCTAGTACATTTTCATATTTTATTTCAATTATTTGAACGGAATTTACTAGCAAATTAATTGCAAAGTATGTGAAACTAATATTAGGACAATACTGTGATCTCATTCAGGATACTATTCTTGGAGCAATGGTTACCAATTTCGTTACAGTTTTGTTTTGTCTTTTTTCCTCGCGTCTATTTTTTCTCTTTTCTCACTTAGACGCTTTCATTAAGTTTCCATTTGGAAGATAATACCATGAATACAATGAGCTTTAAATATCCGGTGTTTCATTGGTTCTCTGAATCAATTTTTCAATATTATCTCGCGCATGAGCATTTTAGACTACGTTTTCTTTGCGTTGATTTATATATTTTCTGTTCGCAATTTAATGTTTTCTTACATTTTTCAAGTATAGAATGGCACCCAAAATACCAGCAGTTGCTGATTGAAACCTCTCTGTTTAACTTTCTAAACGATTCGATTGCAAAAATGCAAAAATGTATTAGGCATGCAATTCTAATAGGGAGTCTTGTATAGTTAATTGACACCAAATTCAATAAATTCATTCGATATGGATAAAATATACATATACATTATTAAGATTATATATATATATATATATATATATATATATATATATATATATATATATATATATATATATATATATATATCCGCTTTAATGTGTTAAATGATAACCTCCCTCTATCCATCTATCCACTTTGCCTGCGATTGACATTTTTATATTTCCTAAATGAACCGAATTTGTTTAATAAGTTTTCTGTTTGGGTAAACATATGTAAGAGGTGCACATATTGATTCGGCTTGAAAAGGTTTGAGATAAGGTTACAGGTATATGCAATTTTAGTGACGGAGAATTTTCAGGTTTTGTTTTTGCTAGATTGCATTTATTCAGTACATTAATAAGACTTTCTTTTTACTTGTTTACCAAAACGATTCTGGGTTAGGAATTCTGAGTCAATGTCCTGGGAAGGTGTTGCTGTTTCTCATTTATATCACGTAGGAATTTGCGATTGCAAGCTAACGAAGCTGTCTGTATTAATGCTTCTCTGCCTAAACACACACACACACACACACACACACACACACACACACACACACTATATCTATCTATCTATCTATCTATCTATCTATCTATCTATCTATCTATCTATCTATCTATCTATCTATCTATCTATCTATCTATCGATCGATCGATCGATCGATCGATCGATCGATCGATCGAAAATCTGATTATTCTAGATTCGTTTCCGAGGTTGCTGGTCATATCGGCATTGTGCTTACACCAGGTCTTTTGTGTTGGCTAGTTAGCCCTAAATGGAATTGGTGTGAATCTGATAGACAATATGGTCACCATGGAAGCCATCTTGAAAGTCGTGTTTGCATTCCTTCTCATGAATGCTGGGCCATATAAACGATAGGTTTTTGACGAAAAATGTATTATGGTGTATTGTTAGCCGTAAATGCGAATGGCGCCAATCACATCACCAGCATGACCACCAACTTGGCTATCTCGAATATCTTGTCGTGGCTATTTTTCCTAGATGACCTGTCAGATCACCATAAGACATCTTATTCTGTTTTGTTGGTCCGAAATTATAATGCAACCTGACACTCAATACGACAGCCAAGGTTGCCATTTTTGAAAATAATGTTATCTCTTCCCCACCTAAATGAATGGTTACATTAGTATAGAGTCTCCACTAATCAAAATGGAGCCAATCGTTCATGAACGCCACGATGGCTGTTTTCAAAATCTTGCTGTAAATATCTGACGTGGGGTTTCCTCTAAGTACTTAAGATGTTTTTTAACTTGGTCTGGAACTAAAAACTAAAATGGTACCAAACACGACATTCAATGTGGCCACAACATCAGCTATTTTGTTATCGTCGAAGAATGTCAGTCTTTGTTGTGGGTTAAACGCCAATTTTTAGCACATATTAGGCTGTACATTATTACATACAGACCAGTATAACTGATGGAGGAAGAAATTAGGAAAATTTTGGAAAGAAAGACTTAACTACAGGAAGTTAATGGCAAGCTTTATTATATACCCATATTTTGCGAATCCGAGGCTCGAACCAATGCAGTCATAGATGGAAGTGATCGGTAAAGGAGAGTGTCCAAGACCAGTCGATCACCAAAGGCCAAAACGAATGTCCTATATAAGTTAAAAGAAAGAAATTTCATATCTTGAATTCCTTTAAATTCGTTTCGCCCAGTAGACGGTCGATAAAGGACTCTTGTTACCTGACATTTTGACATTTCACTTCAGCATCTCTCTCTCTCTCTCTCTCTCTCTCTCTCTCTCTCTCTCTCTCTCTCTCTCTCTCTCTCTCTCTCTCTCTCTCTGCTAATTCAGACTTACATTTTTATGGATTTTGGAGTGAAATATTTAGGAACTTGTTGTAATGGGGGAGATATATTTATCTGAGTCATTTTGTGAAGAGTAGAATTAGTCACTTTTAGATAGAAGAGTTATGATTTCAGAGTTCCAGCGCGGGTCTGGAAATCCGGAAAAGGTGTAAAATTTGAACGTTGCTTTTACTTGTTTTGAAAATGTCAGGAAAAAAAAATTGAAAAAGTCTTAAATTTTCATTATTACTTAAACCGGTAATGCAACTGCTTGCTTGAGTTTTAGAGACGTTTTAGTATATAGATAGAATCCTAATGTTTAAATTATATTTTTTCATTACTTAAAATTTACTTGTAATTATTTTGTATTTTAGCCTATTTAAGTGAACAAACTTTTCACAATATTAGGTCTGGAATATTTTCGTGTCTGGAAAAGTCTGAAATCTCTTTCTTAACTTGTGTTAGGAACCATCTGATTCTTAAACTTAATTTTTCAAATAAATGTCTTACAGAATATTAACTTTACATTTCATGATTTTCATTTTAATGAGTTTATATGTTGTAATGTGTTTATTCTCATACCTATGAATAAAGAATATGGGTAATGTGCTAGGTGTTAATTTTTTCTTAGAAGATAATTAATGATCATGTTTGATTTTTTGCCAATCAAGTTATTGCTGCTGTAGGTCCTTGATTTCAGATTTGTGTTTAATGAAATACCATAATCAGCCAGTATGTAAACACGAGAGAGAGAGAGAGAGAGAGAGAGAGAGAGAGAGAGAGAGAGAGAGAGAGAGAGAGAGAGAGAGAGTCGCTTGCCGTAGTCCTTAACATCTTAATTTTAATCTTACCTGTTATTATAACTTAACTGGGATATGTTCGTCAATTCACTAGATAGACATTAAAAAGACGAATCAGAAAACCAGAGACGATGCTAAATTTTTGGGAACAACCCAAAAGCTTTGAAGAAGTAAAAATGGTTTAATAATCTGTGGAGGAAGAATTCATAAAAATACTCATGAAAAAATTTTGGATGTAATTTTATTAGAAAGCGAATATTACAAGTATTCATCAAATTCTGCGTTATTAAATGGAATGACAGGCTACCATCCTTGGTTACATGAGTGAGGTACTTGATTAAAAACTACAATTGACTGGATCCTGTGTCATTGTTTTCAGTTAAATGTAGCAGCGTCATCTTTTGTCATAATGGGGAATTGTCCTCTCATAATACTTGCTTTAAAACAGAATAAATCTTGTAATGTAGTCCAGTGCTTGTTGTCAAAGTTTTGCTTTCCATGGGAATTTTATAGAGCAAAATTGCCAGCGAACATACAGCGAAAATGTTTGTAAAAAATAATGCTGATATTTTTTTCTCAGTATGTTCAGTGTTTCTTATCGAAGTGAAAGGTCGGAGCTCAATACTTTGATATAAACTCACATTCAAAAATATTTATGCTTTAAACTTTGACTCTTTTTAAAACGTAACCTCTGAAATATTAAAAACCACACCATAGATAACATGAAAAGCCTGTTATCGTTCACCTGTCGAGGGAGAGACTATAGTGTTGTGGCTTTTTGCCCGCTTTTGAGCGCTCCAGTGGCCTCGTGCTTAGAACATCCGCCTCGGATGCGGGAGGACGCGGTTTCGAACCCCGGCCGAGTTATACCAGAGACATAAAATTAGTAGTAACAGCATTAAGAAGTTAGAGTTAAGACTGGTCGTCC